TAAAATCTACAATTATCTCTTTTTAAGATTTATAAGAAATAGAAAGGAATTATAACTTATTGTAGAATTTATATCTTTTGATAATAGTTTATTAATATATTGCATATATTTTAATATATATTTTTACATCTTTTCTTATTAAGAACTAGAAATATTTAGATCTTAAGATTTCTAGAATTTTAAAAATACTTTAATATTTATTTATAAAATTATTATAATAAACTTCTAGAATTTCTATTTTTAAAATAAAGTTTGGTAATATATAGATATTCTTATTATATTTAAGAAGTCTATTAGTACCTATCTATTAAAATAAACAATTTTAGTAGAATATAATTTTTAATTTAAATATTCTTTATTCTTTATAAAATTATTATTTACTTAAAATTATAATAAAGTATTTCTTATTATTTTTGATATTAATTCGAATACTATTTTATTTTTTATTAATAAGTAAGTTATTTAATATAGTATTAACTATTTGTAATTAATTTTAATTAATAAATTCAAGTGTTTACAAGATAATAGATTATATTCTTTTTTTTATAAAAAACCTATAACATTATATAGAAACTTTATTTTCTTAATAAAAAAACTTTAAAAACAGATTTATAATTATCAATCTATTTTTCAATTTATTTTGAAAAATTAATAATATATTATTTATATTATTTATATTAATAATATAATTAAAGCAATATAATAGTTTATTTATAGAATTCAATTTTTCTACTCTATATACTATTTTGAAATTGTATATAACCAAAACCTTTATTCACCTTGTTTATTAGTTATTTAAACTTTTTTTATTATAAAATACTAAAGATTATTATAATCCAATTTAATTACAATAGTATATCGACTTTTTATTATATAATAACATTATTATATAAAAACAATATAGATTATTAATAATTTTTGATTATAAATAAAATATTACTACTCTACTAAATTCAACTTTTTCAAATAGAATATAATAAAATACTATTATTGAATTAATATATCTTTAATCCCTTTTAAAAAGAATTATAATAATACATAATTCAATATAAAGATTGAAGTATTGATTTTAATTATTATATAAAATAAAAAATCGAAATATTAAAAAATAAATATTGATATAAAGATTTTCTTTAATACTTTGAATACCTTTTATATTTTATTAATCTATTTAAACTTGACCATTATCTTCCTCTTTTATATTCCTTTTATTAATATAATTATATTATAAATCATTACCGAATAAACTCTAATAAACTGTTAATAAAAGTTTATAAAACTAAAGAATATTTATATATCTCTTAGATTATTAAGTATTAGCTATTCCATAATAATTTGAATATACCCAGATTTTATTATAACCTTTTTTTACTAAAATAATAAATCCTAGAAATTAGATTTCCTTAATATAAAAAATATATTTCTTTAATTTCATAAAGAGTTTATATTTAATAAAGTATACAAATATCTATCGAATATCTATCATATATATAATTTTATTTTTGAAATAAATTAAAATATTATCTAGATATATTATATATATATTATTTATTAGCTCTATTAGTATTTAATTAATATATATCTGAAATATTATAGAAATATTAGTAAAAACCAAAAGTATTATTTTATACTTATACTAACCATATTATATTCAAAATATCATCTTTTATTTATTATTCATTCTTATATAAATATAATAATATATATTTCTAAAATCTAGTTTAATAAATATAGTATTTTATTAAAATTAATTTAAAGATTTATTAATAAATAATAAAAAAATTCAATTCTTTTTATAATCTTATTAAGTTCTTAATAATTAATATATAACTAATAGCCTTCTCCTTTCTTTAAAATGAATATAATAGAGACTTCTATCAAACTAATAGATTTTTTTATTTATCTTTTTCTTTAATATTTATTTAAATATTTTTATAATATTGTTAATTCTTTTTTAATAAAAAATAAATTAAATTTTAAGAAAAAATTAAATCAGATTCGAAATTAATATAATATTTTATCAAATAATATTCAAATAAAAAGCTATTTTCTTTTTCAAAAAAAGCTTTCTTATATTCTTAGAATTCTTTTAATATTTTACATAAAATTAATATAAATATCAACAATCTCCTTTTATTTTTAATTATAAAATTAATTTATTTAGAAAAATTACAAAAACTGATTTGCTTTTTTTTATTTTATAATAAAATTCCTTTATAAAAATAATCTCAAAATTATTCAAAATAAAATAATATCAAAATAATATTAATTTTTAATCAATATTAAAATTGATTATTTATAACTATAAAAAATCTAAAATAATATTTATTCATAATAAATCTAATATTATTAATATAAAATTATAAATATAAATTCTTTTTTTTTCTTTTTTCTTTTTTATTTTAATAAGGAATTTATAATTTCTATATAATATAATTATAATATTATTTACTAATATAAGGAGAATACTTTTTTTAATAAAATTCCAATTTTATTTGATATATTTATTTTATTATATAATATTGATTTATACTTTTAAGTTAATAAAATATTGGAATATTATTAACTTATTATTATTATTAAAAATTACTATAATTATAAAGATTATTTATCCTTTTTTATATAAATTTAATATTAATAAAATACTTATTATAATTACTAAATCAAAGTATTTTCTATATAGATAGTCTCAAATAGATTACTTTAATACTCAGATTCTTTATATCTTTCTTTATAATATTTATATATAATAATATTTTAATAATATATAGTAAAATACTCCTTTTTTTGGTATTTATAGTATATAATATTTCGATAGTATTCTATATATAATATATTAATAAGATATCTTAATATCTTAAAAATTCTTTTTAAAAAGATTAATTGAATTTTTGAATCTTTAGTTTAATAGTTAAAATCAAATTATTTTCTAAATAAAAATATTTAAAAATATTTCGATATTGAGAAGATAATAATTAATATTTATAAAATCAATATAAATTCTTTATACCTTTTTCTTAAAATAATTTTTTTATATTTTTTAATTTATAGATTTATTTTATAAGCTTATTATATAATTTAAATTATTATAGAGATTTTAATATTTTTTTAATTATATTAAATAAAAGATTTATTAAAAGTCTTTTAATTCAAATACTTTTTATTTTTTATTTAATATTCTTTTCAAAAAATTTTAAATAAATTATAAATATATTTATAATATTTTTTTTATTTCACATATATAAACTTTTAGATTACTTATTACTATCTAATTCTTTTATTTATAATAATATTATATATATATTTTCTAAAAAATTTGAAATTTGTTTTGTATCATTTGATTTCTTTATCAACAATAATCACCTTGTTAGGGATTGGTTTTTTGAAGTATTAAAAATATATTCTATTTTCTTGTAAGAATTAATAGGAAGTGATAGTTAAGTTATTATTAATTTTGAAGATGAGTTTTATCTGAAAAAAAAAGTGTTAAGCTTCTATTAATAGACTTTCCCTTATATTATTTTAATTAATTAATCGTTATAATTTTAAAAATATTTTCTTTCTTTCAGTCCGGTTCTATCTTACTGGATTCTAATTTAATCTCCTTAACAAGTAATATATGCAATTACGTCTTAGCTCTAAGCTCTCCTCCCTCGCTCCCTCTCCCTTTTTTCATCCGTCTTCTTTTTCTTTTCTTTCTTAACGTTCATTACTTCAATCAGAGATCCGTCATTATTCTTCAGCGGCTCTCCGTAGCGTCCCATCCGTCGCTTATTGCTCTTTTCTCCGCATTAATTACTCTGTCTTCGCTTAATTTTACTTGTCTGCCAACTCTTCTCTTTTTTTTTTCGCACAACTCTTCCTTTTTTCTTCACGTCGACTCATCACCCCTTAATCGTTGACCATCACTTCGACCTCCTTCATCCATCCTTTTCTATCCTACACTCACCACCAGTAATTCACCTCACTACTCCTCCTCCCCTCCCTTCCCATATCCTCTCATCTCCCGCTTTTTCGTCTTCTTTTCCCTTCTCCCCCTTCTCTCACTTTGATCTTCTCTCCCTTTCCTTCTCCTTCCTCTCTCCCTTACCTCTTCGCCTCCCTCCCGCCTCCCCTCCCCCCGTCGGGCGCCTACTTCCTCACTCCTTCGCCCTTCCCCACGGCTTGCCGTGCCCGGGGGCTTGCGGGCTGGCCCCTCTCTCTCTTCTCTTCTCTTCCCTGCCCCTCGCCTTCGCTATTATCTCCCGGCGGTCCTCGCTCGGTCTCCTGCTCCCTTTGCTTCAACCCACAACCCGGGCGGTCTCTCCGTCCTACCTAAACTAGATTGACTTGAGGTATAATCATAAGGATCACACCTTCTTTATATACCCTGATCGGGCGAGGTACTCGCCTAATTAGGTATATAGGGCACACAAATGAAAGGAATAATATGGTTTTAGTAATCATAGGAGTGAGTACTCCGAAGGAGTACTGGGATTAGTACCGTAAGGTTACACCATACGGTGAATTCCGTAACAATTTAGTATTATTAGATTTAGTATTATTATATATATTTATATTTTTATTATATTCATATATTATATTAGTACTAGCCGTCGGGGAAAAAGAATTTAAAGACGAGAATTTGGAGGATTTTAAAATTATTATAATAATTAATAAGAATAAAACAAATTCGACGAATTCACAGTCTGAAAAATTCCTTTTCCCCGACGGCTAGTTTAAATGAACTAAACAATAATTTGACTTATTAGCATTTTTTTTTAAAAAAAAAAACCAAATTTTTTAATATATAATTGAACTAAAACTAAACTATTTAATTTAAATCATCTAGTTCGTCCTGCAGTCCGGACTATTAGACACACTGGAGGAGATCATCTATTCACCATAAATATACATTGGAGGACGGACCCATTGTGTCAAAAAAATATCATGGACCCGGTCTCTATTGACGCAAGTCAAGGAGAGGAGATTCGCTGTCAGTTGGAAACACTTTGGGGAGATAATCAGTACATTTCATTCAAGAAATTTAGTCACAGGATTATGACACGACGCATGATCAGGCGAATTTCAATTCTTCAGACCTAATTTAAGTTCAAGGCTAGCAAATCAGTCATTTGAAGATATCTTTGATAGCATTTTATGCACGTCCACTTTCTCAATTGCTACCTCTCTCTAAGAAACTATGGGTCCACAAATCCATACACCTACCCTTGCTAAGTTTCAAATTACTCCCTGGTAATAACAAATTCCATCATCAACACATCCGTTCCCATGTACGCAGTCTCCTTGGGATCATTACCGAGTTGCTCCCAAGTTAACAGTCTCGATTCCGTTTTCCATTGCGTTCCCGTTCTCTTCCCAACTTCATCCCACACCTCCTTCCAAGTCTCTGGGGACTGAAGAAGGCACCTGTATTTAGAGCCAGGGGGGCCAAGTAACTCCCGTTGCTTGGGCACGCCGGCTTGGTAACCTAGTATCAAACTCCCTGGACGATCTCGAGACAATTTGACTAACTGCGTAGCCCCCTCGATTTGGTTCTCTAAATTCCACTGATGGAAAATCTGGTTCACTAAAATGACATCCATCGTTCCGTGCAATGCCTTCAACTTTTCACGTGGTTGCAACATATCATCTTCAAAAAAGTCAACTTTAAAAGTATCCTTGTCACGAAAAAACTCATAACCCAAGTCCCAATGATTGACAATGTCCACGGCATGGAGCTGGTCTGTAGGCGCACCATTTAGGTCCCACACCAATTGACGTAATTCTTGGCCGAGGAAGCATCCAATATCTATGAATGAGTCTCCGCCTTTGAGTCGGGCAACAACATCTTTATACGCTGGCGACTGAGCGAGAAGATTGTCAAGGAAGCGACCCAAACCTGTGCACGGGTATGGACGAATTGCCCATGCCTTTTCACGCTGTACAAGAGTCAGTTTTGGTCAACACAAAACGCACCAGCGACGTTCATGGTCGCCATGTAGAGGAGACGGCTCACAATGTCATATATGTGTTGACGAACATCCTCCGGCGAGATCTTGCTATAATTCTCGAGAAGTCTACGACACTGTCAAGTAGCATTAGCTTAAGAGTCTTGCATTCTTGATATGAGGCCAGCTTACCTCGGGAGTGATTTTGTGATCGATGTTATCGAGCCACCACTTGTGCTCCTTGCTTGGAACAACCCTGTTGATGGGATCGGAAATTTTTTCGTTGCCGTCGGCTGCAGAGGGTGTGGGCATTGTGGTAGCCATGCTTTTTTGGATCAATGATGGTCAAAAGATTTGGTATCACAACAGAATAGAGGTTCTCAATACAAATCACCCATCTCTGGAGATTCAAGGAGGGAATCCATCCCCTTTATATAGTCCACATGGCCTCATTTGTCACATGCTTGACAAGGCTATATGCAGGATATTTCCGATCTGTCTAATTCTGGAAGCTGTCCAACAGTTGGTTGCAATTCGGAGCCTAGTGCGGTTTGAAGTTCATGGAATCAAGCCGTGATGCGCTGGAGATTCGATAGTGTGGGAAGGGGTAGGTGTGTTCAACTGACATGTCTAAAATCGTTTTAAATTCCTACTTTAATAATAATATTGTGTTACATCGGTCGATTTTTCATGCTACATTGATTGATTCTGTGAATCTAAAACTAAATTATTCCGAGCAAGTTTATTGAGCTACTGTGATAATACATTGGCGTTAACCCCCCCTCCCCTTCCCCCTCAACCCGGGAAGAAAAATGTGTGACGCAAATAGAGCACGCCAGATTTGTTGGAATTTTGGGATACTCAGGCGGCCAAGATTTATACAGAGATTTGTGAGCCTTTACTCACGGCTCGAAGCTCAATTTCATCCTCCAAACTATGTCCTTGTTTCCTTGCCGATTTATTCGCCGAAGAACTCTGAGAGTTTGATCGTAATGAAAAGATTGATTTGAAAGAACGCACAACACTTTCAGGGCTTTTTCCTTGGAACAAGGGGCGAACCGTAGGAAGACATGCTCCGATGATTGCAGAACTCGATTCTATCACGCACCAGACCACGAGAATGGTGTTGGCAGCTGCCTAATGTATTAGATCAGCCACTCCAGTCATATGCTCAAGGTACTTACCAAGGAGATCTCGGGAACCGTATTCAGTATCAAGTTCAAATATACCTGTAAGAACTGCCCGAATCATGCCAGCAACAATAGACCTATATCGATCAGCAAATTGTTTAGAGCCATCAATAGTGAACAACTGTACTCACAAGATACCAAGTGCGAAGACCGAGCACAGTGCAAGTCTTGCACCCATCGACATTTTTAGCTTCCAAACGACGGGTATTGGAGTGAGAAGAATTGCAAAATCGGTCAAGACATCAGTGATACAGAAAATTGTTGTTTCCCAAGATTCAGTGTCGCAATATTGAGCAAAAAGCGTGCCGTTTGTCCAGAAAGCCGACATATGTGTACCACATTGAAACAAAACTGCGAAGAAGAAGGAGATAGTCCACAAGATTATTATCACACATAGTATCGCAGACCAGATATTGAATTGCCTATTGACTACAAAAAGCCGGCGATACAAGAGGACCACGCTGAGTTTTGTGAAGCCGAGAGCGATGGTATGCACGATTATCACAATGGTGGTAAACTAGGGCCAGTCAATGAGTGATCGAAATAGAGAATCGAAACATTTCATCAATAATGACTGTCGTACCTCCACTTGACGTCTTTCTCGCCAGGTAACAATTTCTTCTCCTGTCTCAGAGTCCAGCTGTGTATGGTATCCAAAAAACTTCTCCGAAGCGCCTTGTAGTTGATTAGCACCAAATCACGTCGGAAGCAAAACTTTCCTAGACACTAACCAGCTAGAATGATCCCACTCGCTGCCCACATACATAACTAAATTGCAAACTTCAGTCAGTCGCTGAATTCAAAAGAACATTAGGGGTGGGCAAGACCTACAAAACCAAGAAGAATGGTCCAATCGTCACTTTCAAGTTTGTTCTTTCTTGTTTTTCGAACCCAAAAGCGCATTGCTACACACATAGTCGCAATGAGTGGTAAGAAGATGCATGCAGTATAAACTCCTGCCGGACCTATCGAAGAGGGGAGCTTGATCATTGTGGAATGCGACTTAACTGGAATGTTTGATAAAGACTTGCAGATATCACAATAAATGGGTTTCTGTTGTCGAATATGGGGAGATCTTGACCTTAAATCCTACCACCTTCAACAATCATCCTTGCCATTCAAGTATAGAAGTGTCGGAACTATTTTGAGAACAATCCTCATCACTGTTTCCGTATGTTGCAATGCGGGTTCAAGTGAGGTTGCATCGATGAAAAATATGTGCTCCTGCGGCGAGGCACTTGAACTCATACGGGCAGTTTCAGGCACCTTCCAATGCTGAATGTTATCTCGAGGCAATATTGAGATTTCGTGGACTCCCCTCCCACACTCTTACCCATTATCCGGATCGGACTTCTTCGTGCAAGCGTGATTATCATAAGATTGTTGATCTTAGTGCCTGTGCCTCAATATGCTTGGTCTTCTTCAAGCAGGCTCTTCTATAATCCGACACGCATTCCGACTACCATTTACGGCTTCAGTGGCCATCTTGAGGTGTTGGAGAATGCCACACTCTTGCTTAAAAGCGACATGAAAGAGGGGCAACGTCGATATATTCATAGATTGAGAAACGAACTAACCAAGACCTTTCTCAAGACCGAGATTAGTACATTCTTGTAGAAGCGAGAGTGCCACCTTTTGGAACGAGAAATTTCGCAACGGAAACGATGATTGGTGATAGATAAGATGGTGGTATTGAATGTTCGGAGGGTATAAGGAAAAGAGGGGAGGGGTCAATGATTCATAGGTTCACGCCCGTATTTTGGCCCGTCCCGATCCGCTCTTTGCTGCATAACATATATCTAGATATATATCTAGATATATATATATACACATCCCTGTAAAATCAGATCTTCAAACCTAAGGAGGGGGCCTAGACGTTGTCTGTCGTAAATTCCCACCAATCAATAGTCCCTTCACACAAATCGGTTATTGCGTGCAAAGACTTGCGCCAAGGCGGCACGGTGCGGCGCGGTGCAGAGCCGTTACTACACTAATTCTTTTGCATACAGTCAACTCCGAAATACATCCAGAGTCACCAACATCACCAAAATTGCCAGGAACGGAACACATTACCAGACGCCTCGCCCTGAGTTTCGGAGACGAGAAATCATTACAACGCTCAAGCTATCACCGAAGAAGTCACATACATGCTGGCTTCACTATAATAGGCAGATGAACAAAACTCAAAGTTCGTTCGATATGCATGCAGACAGTCCGAAGCTCCGCAAAATCACCCTCGATTTGCCGTAGATTACCATGTTTAAACACAAATCAGTACAGTTCATGGTGCAGGGTAAAGCAAGTTATGGTTTTATTGACTGTCCAATTGACTATTCTATAGGCCAACCACTGTTGAAGTGAAACCCTGTTACCACCTCCATCTTTTCTTCTCGCCCCGACGATTTGCCATTTAATCTATTCTACAAGTGTTGAATCTAGCCCGAATGTCAGCTTTTCGTTTTCCACCACAACAAAGAAGTGTACCTGCCTTTGTAAAATATGAGAGAACTTTGATCTACAAGGGACAGGCGTCTACCAACCCACACCCAGAAACGCTGTCGGCTCGGATCTTAGCACCATCTGAAACTCCCACCTCAATGGGAGCAGCGTAGCTCACAGCCAAAAGGCTGAGGCAAGTGAGAGTCATAGCTTTGAGAAATCGCATTTTGAAGTTAAAGGAAGCTGAGCAAAATAAGATTATATTTAAATTAATGTGAGAGTGGAAGCAGAGAGTGCACTACTTACGCGTGGGGTTTGAGGTTGGCTTTCAAAGTGTGAAAGTTTACTTGAGTTGGAAAATTGTTGATTCTGCAAGTTCGATACTACGAGTAGTGATTCAGCACTGAAGTGGGAGTGATCAAGGGCTTTTATACATGGCATGCGATGATGGAATGCGGGATTGAAATCGATGAAAATAGCTTTTCAAATGAGTTAAGTTTGATCTTGAAACCATGGGGCTTCGGGGCGGATCCGTCGCCAACATTTGCAAAATCAATATTATGCACGCTCTTATCTTGCAAAATCCATCATCGTATCTTCTTTGCGTCGTGCTCCATGACCAAGCTGCCACATGATGAGCCTGCAATCTGTTCTGACAATGGTTCCACGTATGCCATCGCACCGAAGGAAGAAGGTATCATTGTCGACGTTGCACCGTAAACCTGTATCGAACGTATATAAGACCTAGAACATCGGAGCTAGGTTTACTCTGGATCGTGATATCTGCCCTTGAATCACAAGACACGCATAACTAGCTAGTATTTTCCATGATGCCGATAATTTGGCGCCTTGGCAGTCCCGACAGTGTGGTTGCAGAGCCTTCCCCAGTTCATACCAAGTAAGATTAGTAAATGTTGTAACTTTCATTGGATAGTGTATGGTATGTTCGGACTCATAGAAATGCCGTCTTACATCCCTTTCTTCAAGGCTATTCTCGCTGAGTTGACTCGAACGATTTCTTCAACATTCGATATAGCAAATTCTTGGAACCGAGATGCATACATAGATACTACCTTGTCGGGACTTACTGCCAAATTCAGAGTTCCATGCGTCAGAAGAGTTCTTCAGGCCCTGTGGCAAATGTCTCCATTGAGGCATGATAGCTATCTTGTCGGAATTGTTCGGTTAGCATGGTATCGACTTTCATCATTCAGTAGGGCAGAAAATTTCTAACTACTCGCGAATCCCCCCGTTCTCTGTGCCAGCTCACAGTTACTCTTGTTCTTCCTTTACTTTCGAAATATCATAATAGATTATTGAACTATCAATCTGTCAAATATTTTTCTTTCAACAAGCTTGATGATCTCGCGATGGCTACGTCGAAGGAAACTTATTCTATCATCCCAAGTCAACAAGACTCTTCTGACTCTGACTGCGAAGAAAACGACACTTCTCAACTTGGTGGACTGCTTTCGGAGAGTCCAAAGCAAGTCTCAAGGAAGAAAATCCGTAGAGTTCTTATACCAATATTTGTCTCTTTTCTTATTGCCACCATCATAACACAATGGGTTCTACTTGCACGAATCCGATCCATTACTCTGAGTGGATGCTTCCGTTCCAAAGGTCAGGCACCATGAGCCATAACTGTTATAGTAATTTGGCATCAAAAATGATGATACTGATTACATGTAGAGATTCCCGCTCTTAGCTATCAACGAAACAAAGAACGTCAAATAGGATCACCGAGCGCCTACAATTCCAAGAATATGACCGAAGCCGATGAAGCATGGCGGACAATGCTCACAGGGCATGGGATCATTTCCTTTCCAGAGAGTTACGCTACAGAGCACAACATGATCGAGACACTTCGCTATTCTGTCGAGAGTCCCGAGGCGGAGAAGAGTCGAGTGTATCTTGTCGAAGCGTACCATGCCATGCATTGTCTTGTGAGTTTCAAATCCGCTGGAGAATTTAAGACCGTAAGCGCTGATTTGAATAGCGAATGGTCCGTCTTCACTACAGAGCGTTGGAGACCGGTACTTCCTGGGACTGGGATGTTGCTCACGATTATCATTGCTTTGATTCGCTTCGTCAATATATCATGTGCAATCCAGACTACACGCTTTGGTACATAAGTGGCCATAGAGTTAATGGCTATATGCAAAAGAAGACCTGTCAGGATTGGGATGCTTTGAGAGATTGGACAGAGGAGCATACTAGTAATTATTATGATCAGTATGACATGGAACCAGGCACCATTGGAGATAATCTGTGGTACAACTATCACGCTGGAGACGGTTTGCCAATTGGCAGTCTTTAGAGTACGCATGGGGGTTTTAAAGGACATTACCACTGTTGGACATGTGATGTGATGTGCATAGTATGAATCTCTTGGGGTGGAGGCTATAGGAAGTTTGAATTCAATTACTCTTGTGATGCTTCGTCATCGCAAATGAAGAGTTCGCCACGTCTCTCATCCATACCACAGCTCGAGACTAGCTCAATACTTCACCTTCCCTTCTATTGGTATTCCTATTCACCCATGCAAACAGCCTTATGCCGTTAAGTCCAATTGAGATAATGTCAGAATCCTTGCTCTGCAGACTTCTTCTCCTGGAAACTGACAGCAACAATACTGACATCGTTTCTCCCATTGTAATAATGGACCTCGTTGCGTCCATCATTTCCGAGCCTCGGATACACTCGGGAAACCCATGGTTACCGAAGGAGGGACTTCCATCGCCGGTTGCTGTCCAATCCATCACAGCGACCTTTTCCAGCTCCCACGCAGCGTCTTTCATATCTTCGATAATCTCTCAGATCATACGACGTTCTATCTCGGATGGTAGAATAATAGTCCTCATCCCCACAATTCCCATCGCATCACTGCCCTTTCTTCCAAACATTCTCTCAAAATAGCCATTCATTCTAATCTCTCCCTTCCCACCCCCCCATAAGGAATCATCCCCTGCCCCCCATCCACCCTCCTCCACACCATCTCAACCCTCCTCTCACTCTCTCCTTCCCCTTCAACCCTAACCCATCTCCCCTTCCCTTTCATCTTCTCCTTCTTTCCCCGCGCCGACAACCTCATTTTCATAAATTGCACTTCGGTGTTGAGTTTCGCGCAGAGAGATCGCGTGCGTGAGAGGGTACTTGAGGAATTGGGACGAGGAGGAGAAAAGGTATGAGATGAGAGGGTGTGGGATGAAGTGTATGAGTTTGATGTGGAGAGAGGTCTGTTCCGATTGAAATTGAAGCTACGGTGGGTGGAGCTGGTGGTGGAAGAATAAGTCGAGGAGGTCTGTGTAGAGGTTGAGGTTGAGGGACGGAGGAGAGGTGTATCCATTTCCATGTTCATTGTGGATTATTTTGAAGCTGTTTGAATTGTGACGTGAAAATGGGAAAAAGGAAGATAGACGACGAACTCTATACCGTCGTAGAACTTGGAATTTAGAAAAGAGGAAATATAGAAATTTTGATGCACCAGGCAATCAATGTAGAATTCAAGATGTTCGGATTATTGCACTCTGCCAGGAAAGCTAGGCACTGAAATGTATATCATTGAAAACCACAGAAATCTCCACAGAAATCTCCTCTTTCTTATATACACTTCCATTGCCTCTCTCGCGTCTACAAGTTACCAAAAATAAACATATACGATAGAAGTCCTACCTGTTACTCAATGAGTTCTCCGGTCCAGAGTCAACAAACCCATTCGATAAGCTCCAACAGATTCGACTTCAAACCTGCGGCTGTGAATTGTAAATGCTTTCGGATCGAACAGGACAATGATCTATAGATGCATCAATATGATTGGCATTGGGAGACTTGAAGTCAGACATCGGGGCGGTAGTAGGACCGGTTTGCTGGGAGAATATTGTGAAACGGGAAAGTTATAGGCTGTGGATTATTCCAGGGGGCTTTTGGGCGCTTGATGGGGTTTGAAATCTTCCAGGGGTAAGGAAGGTTGTTGATTGACTTTTGAGTGGCTCGTTGATTGTTTGGTGAGAGATGACAACGACAACAACAATACTAATAATAATAATAATAAGTTTAAAGGCAATCAATAAAGTCTTCTTGATTTTCAATTCTTCGGGATTCATTAACTGATCAACCAATGTATGAGTCATGAGCTTTCAATTCACAAGAGGTCTCCAGCACTCATTTGAAACAAAACAAAATGATAGATATCCACCCGAGGTAACGTGACCTACACGATACCAAAGTATGCAATGCAATCAATCCCTCCTTGTTGATTGAAAGGCACGCGCGAGGCATGGTACGAGATGCGGCCCTCTAACTCTCCATACTCACTCTCTCCTCACTCCTCCATGTTTGTTCGCTGCGTTATTCGTCTCCAAACTATGCTTGGTCCGGGATTTTGTAGGGCTGGAAGATTACGGAGTAGACACATTGACAAGCAGCAAAAGCCAATTATTAGGTAAGAGATACAGAAAGACGTTGGTATGAGATGCCTCTCTGCTCATTTATATTCAATTAATGCGCGACGGCATCGGTAGTTAGTTAATTTCACGCAAGAGTGGAGATCTTTCCGAGCCTTTGCCTCACTCACTCACGGGAACGCACATTTTCATGGTCCGGAGACGAAATTATATATTCAAGGAGATTGATTGAGTAAGATTACCCCGATTAGCAGATTAGACAGCGTGGCAAGTTCAACATGTTCATGAACGGGCATGGGATGGGCATGGGCATGGGGATAGACATGATTACCAGGTAGGTGTTTCCATATCCATATCCGTTTCCATATCATTTCCATTTCCATTTTTATATTGATATTGATGCTTCGTTCTTCTTGTTCCTCTTCATCTCCTTCGTCCGTACGTACGTACATCCATCGATAGATATCGTACTTCTTCATGGAACAACACAGACACAGACATTACAGCAAGTAAGACATTCAAGTCAACTTTCTTCAACCCCAGAACTTTATACAATCTCACTTGGATATCCTCTTCTCTTCCTTCCTTCACCACTCTCTTCACTCCATTCGTTACATGACCTTCGTTACATTACATTGTAAGATCTCACCAGAAACAATCGAATCCCGAATCCCCCAAACTCTCACTTGAACACTCACTACCCACCTCCGGCTAGGCTTATTAAGAACGCTTTGGGCAGCCTTGCAGTATATTTTTAAAAAGTTCACTTCACTTGTTTCAAAACGCGGAACCCTGCAATTTCTCCTTAACACCGAGGAAATTGTTTGACACTCAGAAGGTCTTGCTATTGTACCGGCCAGTATTAGGTTATTCATACCGTGTTGCTTTGAGACCTTTGACTTGAAAAATCCTCGTCTGGAAGGAAATAGGCAAAGGGATTCGGAGGATTTCAAGGCTATACCAAGTGAATAATCTTCGACTGTTAATAATATCACATTGGGTTCACGATTCATAAGGACACCTGCCATACACGTTCCTGACACTTACATTACAGAACAAGCAAATATGGAGACAGCCGAAGAATACACTGGACGACCCTCCTTCACCAGAAGATCTCCATCTCCAACTGGAAGGCCTTCGCCAGCCATAGGAGCAACGGGAAACTCGGCTCGATGCGTTTCGACAGCCTCCGAAGGCTCGGTCTTCTCTGGCAGATCAAGTGCGATGAGTCGTGCGTCTGAGCAAAGTTCGGTTGGAAGCTCAGTTTCTCGATCTTCGTCTGCGAGTTATGGAAATAGAACATCTATGGCAGGTCAGGAAAAGCCGAAACGACGCGGTTATGTTCGACCACAAGGAACCAATTTTGCAAAGTCGGCACAATCGAGAGAGAGCGTTTTGAGCTTGGGAAGCATAGCACATTTACAGTATTACTTCGCTCGAACCGGTCTGCTGGACGGGAAAGGTGGGCGATTAATGAAGAAGAGGAAGGATGGTAGAGAGACTCTGGATTTATCGGTCTTGGACACTTCATTCCTCGTACCTGGCTCGGGGTCTGATGCGGACTCATCATATGCTTCCACGGCTAGCAGCCCAGAGCTCTCTGCTGCACAATTTGGCGGCATGATGACGGATAGTCCTATTCACGACTATAATGAGGATGTGGATGAATATTTTAGCGGCGAAGAAGACGATAATCCTTTGCACATGCTCCCTCCGACAGCAAGTACCTATATTCATCGCGAGAAAGTCGTTGCACCTCCCCCAACTCTGAATCAGCTTAGACAGGGCTTGGTGGATGCTCTCAATAATGCTACTGCAGCTTTAGAGGACGCAAAGCATGCAAGAACTCCCCCGGCCTCTCCCCTACCCACATCCAAAGTCGAAAATGCAAATCCTGCAACCCCTGATGCTAAGCAGAAAGGGTGGTTTGAGGTACAGGGTATGAATATGCTGGATATCATGACTCTTGCTATTCGTGCCGCAAAAATGTACTATACCGCGCATGAACATCCCGAGCGCCTCTTAGCAATCAAATCGGAGAGAGAAATTCGTGGAGAGCTATTATCTGTCCTTGAGGTTTTAAAACGTATGGCTACTCGAGGATTTGCTAATGGAATACGTACCGAAGAAAGGGAAACGATGGATAACTGGGTTGACGGCGTACGTAACATGCTTAGACGGGAGAAAATCCTTGAGGAAGAAGAGCGAAAATTAATAGCGAGTTGGACGTGGCTCCATGCCGATGGTTGGGCAGGAAAGGAAATCGAAAGAGAGTATGCATTCTTAAAATCCATGGATCCGGAACCCGATACCCTGCCACCACTATCATTAGTGGACGATGTAAAAGATGACAGTCTCCTTCCTACACCATTTCTGGCGGAAATGAAAACTGGCCTAAGATTAGTGAAGCTTCACAATGCAGCAGTCAAGAAAAGCAAAAGACCATTTGGAGCAATATCTACATTCCATACTGAATTTAACAAGCCATATCGATCAGCCGAGAATCTACGATTCTGGGTCAAGGCCGCTGAATTGAGATGGGAAGCAGATGTTAAATTTGACGTCATGGGAGTTGTAAATAGCGAGGACCGTGATGCATGGGAAGGATTCGAAGAAGTAATTTGGAAATGGTGTCGAATGGTCAGGGAAGAATTATCGGAAGAACTCAAAAGACCAAGAAAAATGTCTATTAAGGTCTAATTGTAATGGACTAATCAACCGATTTTTGTTATGAGTTTTTTATCTTCATGTATTTTCACGCTAAGGCTAGGGAGGGAAAGAGAGAGTTCTCTTTTACATACCGATATTTTATTGCACATAGTTAGGGTGGACTTTATGGAGAGAGGCTATCGGACATATAGGTTTTATGGGCATATATTTTGTAGTGTTTTTTTATATTTCTTTCATCCGCGCTTCTTGCGCACTTTGTTTTTTTGTTGCAGTCTTCTTTTCACTTCATTCGCACTGCACTGGCTTTGAAGGAGTACTATACCCATACATACCCACACTCCCACAACTTTTAGCTATACATACTAGTACATACCTTAAGTACCTTTTACAGAGCTGTCCTCATCGTGTGACGATGAGATGAGATGGGCAAATAGAAATATCAAGTTCTCGTTAGCTACCTCATCAATCCATGTACTATTGGTCGTGAAATCTCATCCCCGTCGCATCTTTACCCAAAGCGGAAAATTCACTCGCGCTCAGATCATGGTGGTTTGTGGTGATGTGATATTGATGATATTGATGATGTTTTTTTTTTCCCTTCTCTTGTGATTTTTCTAGACTCTAGGTATACTGAGATATGATATTGAATCTGGAACGCTTAAATAAATAGAGACGTTGGCGCAATAATGCAATGCGGGTTTGATAAACTTGGTGCGGAGTTCTGGGGTTGCATGTGGGGAGAAGAGGGTGGAGGGAAGGGGGGAACTACGACTCATCTGGTCTGGTCATTGTATCAAGATGGGAGATGTCATCGAGCTAGGTAGGGGAAAGTTAATAGTGAAGAGAGAGAGAGAGTTTGAATGGCATTTGGAAAGTTGATTTGGTGTGGTGTGCTGTGTTTCGAAGCGTAGCGAAAGAAACTTATACCTTGGATTTTATGGTTATGGAATTTTTTATATCGGTAGGTAGTGAGTGAGTGTATATGTGTTTTATTTTTCGAGACTCAGAAATCGAATTTGTGTATAGTTAAGTAGTTGTATGATGTGATGTAATTAGGTATATAATGTCTTTTTTGAATTCAAATTACGATATATGAAGAATGAAATGTATAAAGAAAAGAGAAGAGGGGAAAGCTTTATCTTTAGTCTTTTAGTACCTAGGTACTTAAGGCTTATTAGATTAGATACTTAATTTAGTAATATTGAAGCTATATTGAAGCTATATTGTATGCTCTAAATAGGTATTGACGAGTTTATTCGCTTTGAAATAGATAAGTAGGTATTCTTTTTGGTGTGTGTTCTAATTTTGAGATGTTTTTGATATCTTATATAATAGAGGCTTTGGGGGAAACTATATATTGATTGGGGGTTTCTTCTTCTTTTTCTTCTTCTGCTTCTGCTTCTGCTTCTGCTTCTGCTTCTGCTTCTGCTTCTGCTTCTGCTTCTGCTTCTGCTTCTGTTTCTGTTTCTGCTTCTGCTTCTGTCTTTCGTTTTTCATCTCTACAAAAAAATCCTTTAATCTTTAATTTTCACATCAATTGAGATCGTTTTCTTTCGGGGAGATATTCTCATATGATATGATATAATCAGATACGACGATAACTGTAATCTATACTCAATCTATACTCTTCAAGGCAAGCAGAACGACAAATCACTATCAAATCTATGTCTGACATCCCGCGTAGAGCGAAAAATACGATACCACAGCCATCTCGATCTGGATCGAAAAGGATTTCGACAACGACAACCATCGCATCCCAAACCATCTATTGTTCAAAACAGCCAAATACAACCCAACACTACCTACTCCCTTGCGCCGATTTCAGAAATCCAGCAACCATGGGTTTCTTCCAGCGTGCCGAGGAGAAACTGTTCGGATGGTATAAAGTAATTAATGAAGGGCGTCCTTACTGTCTCCAAGATATCCATCTAGTTAGAACCGCATCGCAGTCATCGATTACGCTTTCGGGTTACAAAGATCGCCGACGATTGGCGAGAGAGGTTGAGAGGCAGGAGCAACAGGAGAGTGGGACTCACTTCAAGGAGACTTGCAGCTTGTTTGAGCATATCTTTGATATGTGGATTGGTTTGTGCAAATGTCAAGGGAATGGGATGAGGTGGAATGGGATGAGGAAAAACAGAGCGAGGGGAAGCAGGATAGTTGCGTCGAAGATGCTGAGCATGTCGAGCATTCTGAAGACCCATAGTAGTATTTAATTCCAGAGTCGAGTTGGAAAGACATCACAATCGGCGTTTGAATAATGGGAAGTGTTAGCGAACTTGAAAGATAGCAAATGGAAAGGTCATGGAAGCGTAGAAGAACATTATCCGAGTCGAATAATTTGAGACATCCAGAATAGATCACATAGTTAGAATTTCATCTTGACAAACGCAAAATGATAAAATGGTAACAATGCATGCTTTTTCATGATTCAGTCTTTACACCTAGACCTGCCGAGGTACAAGACATGACAATGTTTCCATCCGATATCACCAACCAGAATCTTTTATTCTTCATGATTCAAGACGTTTTTAACATCTGAATCATGATATCTGTCTAACAAGCAATAATTTAGCCTTACTCCACTTGAAGTTAAAATGACAATTTTGCTGATCACTTGACATCACATGATGGCTACTAAACAAACTTAGAGGGTGAAATTCCACCATTGGTAAAGTGAAACGCGCTAGATCTGAGTCCGCTTCACGACGGCGTGCTTTTAAGTTTTGGAGTTTTTTGACGTATTATTGCGATATGCCATTTAGTATTTAAAGATTCTTTCTCTTCAAGAATTTTTGATTCTTTCGTTGATTATATACACATCTACTTTGGTTGCTTGCTAAACGAACATTTCACAAGATATAATACTACACAATAACATATCTCAAAATCAACTATAACCCCAATCTTCGCCAATTAAGAAGCCGAACAACTCAAAGACACAGTAACCATGGGCGCCAAAGAGTTATTCTTCAAGCTTAGAAAGTTTCAAAACGGAATTAAACCTTCTTGCGCTCAGAATCCGCAACTCCAGAGGGTCTCCACGAATGAATCGTTAACCTTTTCTTTTTATGAAAGAAGGAAGGCGACCGAGAACAGATTGGCAAAGGAAAGAGGGGCGAGAAACTTTTTAGTAGAAGAAGAACAAAGGAAGAGGAGGAAAGACGAGAAGAACCGGATAAAAAATGAGGCAAAAGAAGCAAGACAGAAGGTAGCTGAGGAATACGCCATGGCCGGGGGTCAATTAAGTTTGCAAGAGATGAATGCCCAGCTAAAGAAATCGAAAAAGGAAGAGAAGGCAACGAATGGTTGTTTTACTCCTAGGAATCCTGATGAGGACGATATTGATGGGGAGTGGGACTGGAAAGGCGATGCGGTGAGCTTGAGAGAGTGGGCTTAAAGTGATAGGCAGGGAGGCGAATTCACCATGAATGCTTGGGGTTTGAAGATTTGATGAGAGCGAATTTGAATAGCAGCATACTGGAGTTTGTGGCTTGATGAAATAACAATGTTTGTTATCAAAATTTGATAGTAATATGATACCATTGAAATGGAAATTCAGTGGAAATGCAAAACCTCGTGACAGAATGGACATTGTGGACGACACTCAAATATAAGGGGTTTGACTGCAATACACCATGCCGTGAAAGGCACTGGTATGCTTGCTGTGAAATGAAAATAAAAGGAGGTTCGAGAAAGCGTCAGGGAGAGGTCAATAGACCTGCGATGATGGGAGGTATCAAGCGTCTTGCACAACTACTGGCTAGACCTGGCCGCCTGAATACCTTTTAAGGATGCAAGTGCTCATCCTGAACTTGAAGCCACTTGCTTCAGATAACGAATACCTTTTTGCTTGATAGTCCAATCATTTACTTATTTTCTTCGTCGCGAAGGTTTGGGAAGGCAGCAAGAGAAGGAATGTCTGAGCATTCGATAACCTTGAATATAGGAACCTACATTCACCGTCGTAGTTTCAGTCCCTTGGAAGAAAGAGGAGACTTGATACCTTCGTATAGAATGATGAGAAGGGAGCAGGCCTCGAGATGGCATGATCGTACTTGCCTCATCGATGACATGAGGTAGACAATGTCACTGGATGCTGTAGTGATAAAACTGGATCATTTTTCACTATAAACACACCTCACACACAGAATGTAAGCTTGCCATTGGTTCTAGCCTCACACCCCGCCATGTACTAACAAGAACTATCGTCTCCAAAAATGAGAATGACAATGAAAAAAAGATGAAACCAAAAATGAAAATCCCTGCCCAACACGTCTCGCGTCGCGTCTCCCCATATTTTTCTTCTTCCACTCACCGAAACTTTGTTTCCGCCGCCTTCCAAAACCAAAACCAACGCCAAATCCGAACTCTAATCTTCAATCACACTCGCTCACTCCATTTCAACTATACCCTCTTTACCAAGTTTCTCTCCCATCTTCCCATCTCAATGTCCACACTTCCGCCCAATTCTCCAACCTCACCACTTCCCAAACGTCAAAAGACTTCGTCCTCGAGCTCTCCGTCAAAATCCACTCCCGCAGCCGCTGCCACCTCGTCCCTCCAAGAAATCATGTCTTCCACTCCAAGCACCGCGCCCGCGCCCACCACAGCTCCAGCACCGGCAACAAACGGTGCGGCCCCAGCCCCCACACCCCTAAAATCATCTACCCCTCCCCCTCTTCTCATTAAGAAACTTTCACCCCGCGCCCGTCTCCCTACACGAGGCAGCGCTTTCGCTGCCGGTTACGATATCTACGCTGCAAAAGAAACAGTTGTGCCTGCCAAGGGAAAGGTTTTGGTGGATACTGATATTAGTATGGCTGTGCCAGATGGAACTTGTATGTTTTTGTCCCCCGCTCTGCCCCTCTCTTCGTTGTATCACTTTATCTTCACGCAATTAATTACCTCGTTTAACTAATACTCTGTTCAGATGGCCGCATAGCCCCACGCTCTGGACTTGCCTCTAAACACATGATCGATACTGGCGCTGGCGTAATCGATGCTGATTATCGAGGTCAAGTAAAGGTACTCCTTTTTAACCATGGCGAAAAGGATTTTGAAGTAAAGGAGGGCGATCGTGTAGCACAATTGATTTTGGAGAGGATTTATACACCAGAGGTTACAGAGGTTTTGGTTTTGGAGGAGAGTGTGAGGGGTGAAGGCGGCTTTGGAAGCACAGGCTAGATTGTGAGGAAGGGAAGAAGAAATAAAGTTTCGAGGGTCCAGTAGCTTGGATTAGTGGAGATAGTTAGATATACCGTGCTGTGCACACTTTGAGGAAGGGAGACTGTGGCTTGGGAAGGAATAGACAAAATGAAGAAATCTATCGCTGTCTATTATGATGCATCTATGTTTTCAGGATATGTAAAGTGTAGCTCCCCCAGGGTCTAAACACTTTCTGCTCTAAATTTCACCACTGGATTCTTCAGAAAGTGCACATTCCTAACCAGTCTCACCTCAGCCGCCTTCGACCTGACCAACCCCTCTCTCTTAGAATCCTCATCCTTTGCCCTACCACCGACAACATTCTTCCACTTCTCAATCTCCTCGTCTCTTGCGATCTTTGTCTTCGCAAGCACTTCATGCATACTAGCCAAAACCTTTTCAGTGGCTCTCGCAAGCGGTAATTCGGTAGCCTCAACCTCATCGTCACTAATCCACGCATCTTTCTCCAATAGTCCTTCCACATTACATACTGCCTCTTTAAATCTCACCAACATGAGCGCTGCAAACATATCACCTGTTCCACTAAAGAAGCAATCAATCGCCGGTATTTTGATGCTAAAAATTCTAGGTTCGGCTGTCGATGTCATAGTCGAGCCTACGACGGAAAGATGGGGTTCCGCACCGGGAGATGGAAGTGAAATGGAAGTGACCATTATATGAGGGATTTTATATACTTCGTGTAATGTCGTTATGGCCAATTTAAGTGTATCCATATCCTGAATTTTGACACCAGATAGTGTCCTACGAGAGTTAGCTAATTTGTACTTCATTCATCTCTTCCAGAAATCACCGCCCTAGAAAAAAAAGATGGGTGCCCTACTCAACCTCAAATTGATTTGGTAAAATCAAATCCGCATCTTTGATCAATGCTTTATAAGCTGGCACCACATCCTCCGCTACATATAATTTCCCGTTGTCCCCCATGACCGGATCCAACACCCAGAAGAAGCTTCCGGGTTTCATTGTAGTTTTTAATTTCAGATCGCGTGCTATTGTGCCAACGGCTTCCACAGATGCGGCTCCAGGCAGATAACCCGAGAGCATCATATTGAAATCGTCGAGGTATGAGTTCTTGAGTCCTTGATAGAGGTCCGATATCTCAGTCGCGGTAGCGCGTGTGCCTTTAGCTTGTCCATAACCTAGATGGTTGCCTTTAATACACCTGTCAGCCTTATGTTCATCTGTTCTCCGGGTGGATTCGCAATGGGACGTGTATTCAGGCTAACATACTGAACTGTACTGTATTCAGAGCAGCAACTTCGCATCCGAGAGATTGCATAACGAACGTGGCCATAGTATTTCCGACATATCTTTAATAACATTATATGATTTAGTCGACTTGCATACAAAATGTAGAGAAAATTTGTGACTCATGGGACTCACCCGTAAACAACCTTGAGCAGACAACGTTAGTTCAGCAAAAGTCGCGTAAGGGTGGCCTTCCTACATGACTGGCAACAGCAAGAACTCGTGTATCTGGTACGGGGAAATCTTCAGACATCTTGCTGATTTGGCGGAGATGTTGCTTCGTGAAGAAGAGAGGACTGTATCCGAGATATCAGATCGAAATGCGCCGGAATTGCTAGAAAATATTGGCGAGGGAGTTTCAATTGCGATATCCAAGTATCTCAAAGACAAGAGAAGAAATTCAGATACAAATTTTGTAAGCTAAAAGTTCATTGCTCAAGAACGTTTTGTTTCTCAATGAAGGGAAAACATTAATCTTATCATGCTCTAGATTTCATGCTGACGATATGGATAGTGGGGCATCAGGTTTGCCCCGCGCTATCCTCAATCCAGGAACATGCATGAAGACGAGCAAATTTATGTGTGTAAACAGGAGATGACAAAAATGTTATAAGAAAATTGTTCTCCGATTCTCCGAGTGTACCTTATTATTGTTTTTTAACAGATTCTATAGAGAAATATCAACGAATTGCTTCATCGCATGCCATGAACTGAGCAATAAAACCAATCATGGCACAATTTACCACGACCATTGTCCATATCCATAAACCAACCCACGCGCCATATTGAATATGCTGTAAACTTTGATATCATTGTTCATTAATCCTTTTCGACAACCATACCTACTCGTCATCACCAATCTAGAATAAAACGTTAGCTTCTCTAGATCTGAATACTAGATGATGCATGTAAACGTACCTTTGGTGCCAAGTAAAATCTTAAGTAACTGCTTCCGGCAAGCTGGTATTCCACCAAAAGAGGAACCTCGTTAGACAAGCAAAGTTTAACAGACTTGGACAAACCAGCAGCCTTGCAGAAGTTGACCAAGTATTTGAGGGAGAAGGTCAAGGAGACCGGCTCGGTAAGCTCGATATCAACGTTAAGATCTGGTTTGTCGACATTGCTATGGCTGCGAAGGGTGACAGCACCATTGCCAATATCTCCAGCACAGGAGAACTTAACACCATCTTTTGAAGCCTCAATCGACACTATTTGGCAAAAAATTAGTATCAACTCTCATTTGTGAGGGATAGGAAAACGGGGACACTGAGACATACCAGACTCGGACAAAGCCATGAGATCGACACAGATTCTCTTGAACTCCGAACTTGGCATGTTGATGACTGCCGCATATTCTGTATCAGGGATACCCAAATGCTCTTGATCGATATCCATCAACTTTAAATCATATTCGCTCAAACGATCACTTTCACTGCTCTCAAATACCAAGTTCAAAACATCTGGTGCATCCTCGGCCTTGATGGTGAGGATATCCTCGTTTTGCGCAGCTCGTAGAACCTTTGTGAGAGAAGTGAGATTGACACCGAGGGCGACATTGCGGTCACATCGATAAGGAGAAAATCCTTCAGCCTTCAGCATCATCGATACGAGCGCAACGTGCGAGTTATCCATAGCTTGGAGCGCGATTCCTGAATCATTGCAGTCGAAGTTGCAGTCTTGAACGAGATCTTTGATGGCATCGACAACCTAGATTATACAATCAGCATAAAAGAGGATGCCGAAGATTATTTTCTCTTACCTTCTTGAGGAGGTCTGCTTGTTCGAGGCGGGCTTCCAACACTATTGCATGGTTAGTATTGTAATGTCAGAGGGTGGAGTACTAAAATTGTAACATACTATTAACGGTATTGAAGTCTGCAAATGCAAAGAGATGAGTATTAGAAGCTTATAGTGAAGTTGTTTAGAGAGCGTTGTTTGTGGAAGGAATATTCTGGATTGCAAAGTTGATTGTTTGACTTTTTGAGATGGAAGGGCTGCGACGCGGTCTCGAGAAAACGCGTAGAGTGGTTTTTTGGCTGGTGCACAGACCTTGAATACAGACCAATCACAGCGGAATGAGCTTGCAAATGAATTTCCACCCTCGCTTGTGGAGTATCAAGTCCAGCTAGAGCTCAGTACGATTTATGCTGAAATCCGAATGCTTCGAAGTCATCACGGATTGTCTTTTGAATTCTGATACCAATGATTTAAAAATGTCAAGTTAACTCTTGATTAGAAAATACAACTTGAGTATTCAGGTTCCCTTAGCATAGCTAGCCACACAATTCATCATCTAAGTGTTCTTAATCTAGCGTTAGCAATCAGACAGCTATACGCTCATCCAGCCGTATACTTGATTGGCATGAAACTTCTTTCTAGAAACTGGCAAGCTATCATGTTCACCTCTAGTCAGGGACTCAGCAGATCAATCTTTCTGAGTGTTGGTTTTTCTTTTTTTTTCTAAAAAAAAAGAATCGCTTTCCAGATACCGGTGAGCCATCATTGTATGAGACTTTACTCACCCGAATGTCTCCTCCAAATCAATCTTCTAATTGCTCGAACTCTATTCATACAATTCCAAAATCGCTCTCAGATCACAACTATTGCCTGACCAGTACCAATAAATCATTCTTCTGAAAGTTTAGATTTAAATCATACATTCTATAGTTTACCTCCTGGAGTCACTCTGAAAGTCATGATTTTTGACATCAAATATACATTCACAGCAAATTGATTGTTTATTGTTTGAATTCTAAAACTATCTTCGAGCCACAATTTAACCTGTCCCTTAGCACCCTCCCCATTGTTTGACTGACATTCGGATATTCAGTTATTTATCGAAGAGGTCATTCATATCTTCTAGTTTGCATCCCTTTGTTTCTGGGACATAAAGCCATGTCCATACCCCAGACAATGCACAAAACCCCCCGAAGAAGACGTACGCCCCCCAATTAGTATATACTACTAGCGGCGGCGTTATCAGACCAATGATGAAATTGTTCCTAATTGATTCAGTAATTGAAAATCTTCTGAAGGGGTACCTTCGCTAGTTAGACTTACAGCCAATTAGAGCAGGTGCTTAGAGCGACGCCTTTTGCACGAAGATCGCTTCGAAAGATCTCCGATGGCATTGCCCAAGGAACAGGACCCCAGGATGCTCCAAAAATCACCATGTAGAAGAGGAGAAATGCTACACTGACCCAGGCAGCTGCTTGGTGGGTATGCCAGTCATAAGAAAATAGGCAGACCATGACAGCTATCATAACATGGCTAATAGTCATAAAAAACGAGCCTATGATCAATAAGGGCCTTCTTCCATATCGATCCATTGTAAAGAGACTAGAGCCTACACCAACGAGCCTACGCTCGGTTAGCATACTAGCTTCAGGGGGTAATCCACTGTTCCAAAACAATACGAGCATTCAGCAGGCAAGGAAAATAGACAAGGGCTTACTGGCAGATATTTAGAACGCCCGACATGATAAGTTGCATCTCTGACCCCAAGCCCATTCTAGCAAACAGAGTTGGAGAATAGTAAATTAGGGCATTTATACCGACGAATTGTTGGAAAAACATGATAAGTATACCAATGTGCGTGCGCTTAATAGAATCCGACGCAAAGCAGTCTCTCCACAAAGCTATTTCGAACTTCATGGGTGAGTTTATAAGATTTTCGTGTTTCTGTAGGTGAATATCTCGAATGTGCGAGACTTCGTTGCGTATATGACGTGCTTCTTCCTGGATCCTTGAATCGGTTTCTGGCAATTGTCTCAGCTTCGATAGGACTTTCAAAGCCTCATCATCACGTCCTTTGGAAGAAAGCCATCTTGGTGAAAATGGAAGGAAGTACACCCCGGCTCCCAAGAATAAGGCAGGAACGATTTGTATAAAGAAAGGAAGGCGCCAGCCCCACTCGCCACTTAAGTATCTTGTGCCGAAGGTTATCCAGAAAGCAACGACGATTCCTACAACAATGGAAAGCTCCTCTGCATGACTAGTTAGCACTTTGATTGTATGAATTGTACTGGACAATTGAAACCACTTGCCCATGACGAGTAATGCACCACGAATTTCGGGCGGTGCTATTTCCGCGATATATATGGGCGTAACCATTGAGAGCATACCAATACCAATGCCTCCCACGAGTCTGGCAATGATAAGCATGTTGAAGTTGACAGCCGCAGTCTGCAAAATGCTTCCCAATAGGAATATAACCACAGCGATTATTATAGAGTATTTCCTCGAGTATTTATCGGCAATCCAACCCTGGTTTAGAGCCCCGAAAAAAGCCCCAAGTTCGATCATAGCTGTCAAAATGCCCTTCCAAAAGCCGCTAGAGTGAGGGCCTATACGAGGAAAATCCAGAACGAAGCTTTCCATGACAAGAACGACAGAGACCACGCCTTGGTCATACCCTGGAAGGAGTTAGAACATTAAGATAAGTTGGGACATTCAAATGTTGTGATTGTTGTAACAAAAGCCAACAATTAAAGGGTCAGATTGTGTCCGTACCAAAGAGAAGTCCGCCAACCGTACTCAAAACGGCGGCCTCAGCAACGTAAGGTGAATCGATAATGCCTTTGAGTCCGCTCTCAACGTAGGGACGATAGGAAGCTTCCATGTGCTCTTCTTGGTCATTTGGAGTAGTATTCGAGTATGCAGAGTCTTTGGTCGTTTCAGGTATATCGGGCGGGGCTAAAGATGCCATCTTGTCATTTGCAGCTTTTCAATGTACGAAACAGTCCCAGAGATTGAGAATAAGCCGAATGTGCTGAGAAGTTTCTTAGGGTTAAGAGGATGTGAAGATGAGGTTTCCATCGACTGCCACCATTGCCAGGTCACTCACTGAGTTACAGTTACCCTGCATCGTGCTTGACAGTTTTTGTTCATGCCAAAACAACGTTTGATGAAAGTGCGACCACATACCTAGTACCTACCTACTTGAAGGCACAGGAGAGTAGAACCAATGCTTTTGATCGAAACGAATCAAATGCGCATGTCTCTGCTCTTGATTTCTTCGCCTTTAAAGATTAAATCAAGAGGTGTTAAAGCATTTAAATGGCTCTGTTTGGATAATTTGCTCTTTTCTTTTCTTTTCTTTCTTTTCTCTTCCCAAGAAAACAAAATTCAAGGGCGATTCATTTTTTGACTGAAGTATGGCGACAGCATCATAGACTCCTTCCTGCAGTTATGGCTAGGTAGTCATGAGTAGCCCACAACCATCTGATTCATGCGGGTCGGAGGGAAATTTCCCCATGATTAGTTTATCTCCGTGGACTCGAGAGTCGAGAATTAACCTTCCAGTTTACTGGCGACTCGAGAGATTGCTTTCGGATTCCAATCGCGATTGAAGCGCCTTTCAAGGGTTTTACAAGGTCGCAGAGATATAAAACTATTTTAAGAAACCTCATGGCTTAGCCCACCCATCAGGGCCTTTGGATCCCCACCTTTTGTCGATCAAACCAACACAACATCAACCCCTCTAGGTAGATCATTTACGACACACTAGGTACCTTGTATGGTGTTGCATTTTGTAAAGTGTTTGCAATGAAGGTTGGCTTACGAAGCTGCTCGTTCATTGGAACTCGTATGTTGGCTGCGTATTTTGTTAGGAGGCAGGAAAATCGTTGTAGATAGGTGCGCAAGTACTGAGGCCGATTTGAATCATTTGGCACAAACCCCAAAAATAAATTTCTGCCTAATGAAAAAAGAAATTTTAGAATTTGTATAATATGTTTCTAGAAATTCTATAAAGAAGAATAGAATTCAATCTTATTGGAGATTTTTTCTAACAAAAATTATATCATTGAATAGCTCTTAGAGTTAGTTATATTCATTTGTTTTTAGAATTCATTTCGAAACTTTCTATAAAAAGTGTACTAATATTTAAAATCTATTTCCAAATAGTTTTCCTTTTTGTGTATAGACCATTCTAATATAAGCAAAAAAAGCTTAATAATAGTTCCTTATCTCAAGCTCGAGCTCGAGCTTATCTCGCTCAAATTATATAATTAATAAGCAGAAATTCCTTATCTCGCTTAAACTATATAATTAATAAACAGAAATTCCTTATCACACTTATCATAAACCCAAACTCGAGCTTATCTCGCTTAAATTATATAACTAATACCACTCCCAATTAGTATATATAATATTAATATAAATATTCAATTCAATACATAACCTCAAAAGAATTAATAAAATAAAAGAAAAAGAGAAAATCCTATTAATTAAAATTAAAGGAATCGATTGATATAATTCTTTTTGAATTATCTCAAAAATTGAAATTTATATCCAATATAGAAATATTTTAATGAATTTTAAAAAAGATTAAATTTCAATATTTAATCTTTTATTTTTCAAATATTATTAAATTGAATATAAATTTCAATTTTTGAGATAATTCAAAAAGAATTATATCAATCGATTCTTTTGATTCTAATTAATAGTATTTTTTCTTTTTTTTCTATTTTATCAATTCCTTTGAGATTATGTACTGAATTGAATGCTTTAGTATAAAAGCACACTACTAAATTCTAAATACGATTTAAGCTCAGGCAAAAATCTATTTTTGGGGTTTATGCCAAATGATTCAAATCGGCCTCAGTAGCAAGTACGATGATATAATTGATTCTTCAGATTGGCTGTATTGCCTTGAGACGGTATAGTGGAAGCGCCGTTTCGATTGATAGGACAGAGGGGAAACAGATAAGCCACCATGGCCACCTTACGGCCTGTACCGAATCCTCATCGCATCCTACCTTCGGGAACGGGGATCAAGTGCGAAGCTCGTGGTGCGAGCGATCATGATGATCTGAGATCAAAATTACCGATTGAGTTCTGTTATCGTAGAGATGCTGCTGCTGCTTCAACGTTGATATCAAACCATCCGGGAATCCCGGTTTCTTGCATCGAGTCTCGTAGAACATTCCCTTGTGATTGCTACATTTCCATGGGCTCCTTGATCGTTTCAGACAATTCCCCGCCGCACACTTGCAGTGTACATGAGGTATTACACATACAATACCCAGTAAGACTGCTCAGCTGAGACCCATCGCACACTATACTCGATGTAGGCGCCCTGTACCAGCATGGATATGTTCTCTGCTCGCTTCGAGAAGGTGTAGAGGTGTGTGTGTGGATACGTTGTTCCGTTGGAAATGGGGATGATGCTGATCAAATAAGGTCTGTTGGTTTACATATGCCACATGGTTTTGAAGATATTGAACCAGCTTATCTCGTTGATCTCCAAGATAGGAAGGATATTTTGTTTGACATGTGCTGGGAATGGAACTAGGCCCGGAAGATTGAGATTGTGAGATCTCCTGGGTCCCGGAATGACTTGAGACGGAAAGAAGCGATTGGAATGAGTGAAATATAATGATTTAGATGGTTATGAGGTTGATAAAAAAAAATTTGATTGACCAATTATTGAAAATTATGCCGATTTGGTATTTTTGCGAGTCTCCGGGGGTTGCTCTCACTGTTACGCCATTATCACATCAAAGTCGCGCTATTGAAATCGTTGTTGAATTTGCTGAGGTTATATTCGTAAACTTGTTTGATTTCGTACGTGAAAGGTATCGTGATCGATGGGGTCGGGCATAATATTAATTTGTCTTTCTGACGGCGTATACTTTTCTTACCTTACTAATTACTTAGATGAAATGAATGATACTTTTCTGGTAAAGTTTTTGAGACATTCTCGAGACGATGTAATGTCAGAATGTATCGTGGTGGAACATACAACCATCATCACATAAGCAGAGGTCGGAAAGCTGGTCAAGCAATTTGAATATTACCTTTTTTAGAAATCAGCATGGAGCATTCAGCAATTGCTCGTTTGCACAATACCAAGATACCTAAGGACAGGGTATTCCTCATACAATCATACTCGATGAGGTACCTGTACTCAAGTATATTCACACACATGACGAGGTTACATAGCAGTCAAAGTAGGTAAGCACTTAGAATGTGAGAATGCGACGCTGCCAACGAGCAAATTGGAACGAATTACGAAAATCAAAATGAGGTAATCATGGGGGGAGGGGGGATTCTGGAAGTGTTCTATCTTGGCTAGCTGCATGTATGCGGGTTTGAACAGGCCGGGGCTGCAGATACTAGCCAGGTCAGGTAGTGGTGTTGTCGCTCTGTGTTTATTTTAAGCGTCATGATGAAATCGAAACGACCACGGGATATCCCTTCTTGAACCATTGAATGAAAGAACCTGTTTTGGTGATGATGTTCGTGATGGGATTCGTGATGATGCATTGGGGACAGCGGGTGATTTGTGAGCCGTGCGGTAGGTTGGTTCAGCATGTAGATTTGATGAGATCTCTAGGTCAAGGTGGCGTAATGTCTCTTTTCCATCGTTTACCATGTCCTGCGTGGAGCATTGTTGGACGGGCGGGACAAACACGGTGTCCAAATCCATATTGTATCTTCCGTATACCTAGGTATACCCAAGATAGTAGTATAGTGATTACAATGAACTAGTACCTTCCAAATTTGGATCTTGAAACAATCGAAAATGGAAATATGGTGAAGTTTGAAATCATCAGTAATATCTTAAATGATCCTTTGAGCCTCTTTCCTTCTTGGAGAGTCGACAATAGCTAATTGTACAGAGCCGCGGTGAGTCGAGGCTAGAAAGTACAATGCCGCATTTCCAGCGACGGACAATTAATTCAAGAATGGGATTCCTCGATTCCGGATCTCGGGTTCGTGTTCTGTTTGTTCTATTTTGAGAGATTCTCCCACCTTCGAGTATTCACCGACACTGCCTCGAGAACCATGTTTCAAATTCCACATACTGTATGAATGCAATCAAGGTGACATGTTCCAAGTGTGATGATAATGATTAGACCATGAACTTTGCCCCATATTGCCGTATCGCTTCAAAGATGTTAAATTACAATACTGCAGCCATATGCAGGTGATACTCGTCGAAATTGATTAGGTCCAGACGAAGTAATAAGATGTTGATGATATCGATACCTAGGATAAACGAGGCCGAGGTGGAATTCACATTGGATAATCACCTCGCCGAACGATGATTGGTAGCAAGGAGGGCTAGTAAGCCTGTGAGCGATGTGAGATTTAAGATGGGCATGATTTGGTAGCTCTTACAATCGCACGACACGACCCACCGAAAGGTAGTGTGAACGTTGAGTATGATAATATAGATGTTGTATCGTTCAGTGAAAGTGGAACTCACGAAATCCACATATTACCAAGTATAGATCTTTTCCACAAGGCAACGAGATTTTGGATATTAGCCCCGCGAGCATGTCACATAAACTAATACTGATACATAATAGCGTTGTAGATTTCATCAACCCCTACCATTGTTAAGCGAACCTGTAACGCGGTGGATATGAAGTTCTTCGCGTGTTCAACAAATCAACAATCTATGCGACCTATGATGGAAATTTAATCAAGCCAAAATTACCATAAAGATATTCTCAGCGAGGCTGCGCTGGGCTGCTGAAATCAGAAATGAATATCTTACAAAATTAAGATTACATATACCATTTTTATAACATTTAAATTGCACAAAAACACCAAACAGTACTACGTCAGCGAAGTACTGACTGTATCTTGCTCGTGTTCTTCATCAAAACATGACATGCCGTGTAGAAAACAGATATACGATAATGGTGATGGTGATGCAAACAGAAATAAGACACTACCAAGGTATGAAATGAA